GGTATATCTCAAGCCCATTGAATCTACTTTATACAAAATTTAAAAAAAAGCATCTGTGTAAACGCGTTATCATTTATAATGCAGTGAAACGCTGTTACTGGGATTTGGGACACCTAGCGGAATAGAAAATACGTGAGCATTAGTTTTGCGAGCGAAGAAGTATTGTTTGGCTTATGTGACTATAACAAACAGTATTGTTTTACGTTCCTATCATAAATTATAGATGAAATAAAATAGTTGAAAGTGAAACCACAGCAGCAAGACTTCGCTAAAACTGTCTTCCATTCACTAAGAGTCAAATGCACGAGTGACTTTCGTGACTCCCTTCTTTGTAGTTAACATTGCAGTCCCCATTGGAGCTGGCTCATTAGTTTGGTAAAATGCCGTCACGAGCTTCTTGATGAAGGTGAAAAATGATAACGTACAAATAACGTGGCAATTTTCTAGATGCATCCTACAGAGTTCGCAACCCATTAGAAGATTGAGCACTTTCCGATGATTATCACAAGTAATTGCAAAAAGCTAGGCTGGTTGTTATTTGCAATCGAAACATTTTTTTGCCACATGTCGGTGTCGGCCAAAAAAGGTAGTCGCATTTCTGGGTATCCTTGATCATCACCCAGTTTTTTCCCATACTGACCGCTGTATGCAGACCGTTTTGCCGGACTGGGCTAAGCTGGGGCGAAATAAAAGCGGTATGATAAATAAATTGGATCACAATGAAAACATGCCTTCTGCTAGAAGTTAGGAGCTTGAGAGGCACTTCCCAGCCCGTCAGACCATGTTGTTGCATGACAGATAGGAAACACTGTGGCTTTAGCAAGTCAACGACTTCCTAACCAGGTAACTACACAATAAATTGTCACGCTCGTTGATTACACTGTGAAAACTAGAAGCGAGTAAGAAACCATTAATAAAATCATTGTATTGCTCCATCTCAGAAAGCAATTTATCCTTCAAAAATTTCGACATGAGTTAAACAAACAAGATAACGGATTACTCAAACAAAGGTAGGACAGTAATTTGGTCGCATTTTCATCTCCACCATGCTATGCTTCATTTCCCTGTGAAGACTAATTTCTTGCAGTTGACATAGGGGATTTTTTAATTTGAAGTCAGACTAAAACCTAATTAGTGTGCAAATGCTCACCATTGTTAGTAAGAAAAAATCAGACTTGATTAACAACGTAGAGCTAGCATCAGAGGCGAAAGTCAATCAGAGTGGATCACAGGGAGGAATACTCGATGAACAAGCGACCATCCAAAATTGGCAAAACAGACTACGTAGTCCTCTAACTACGTCGTCTTGTAAGTTTAACAAAGTCTTGCTTCGAGGGCAACTTTGAGCTCTTCTAATAATGCCACCATACCGTAAGGCAAAATTTGAAATCCTAAAACTGTGTGCCTTTACTTTAATCAGGCATAGGTGATGGAACAGGGAAGAAGTGAATGCAAACAAACACCCCTGAGGTTGAAAACACATGGAAAGTAGTCAAATATAACGACAAATTAAAAGTATAAAAGAGTGTTTGCATTTCCACTTCGTTCCTTACAAGGACTTATTAAATAACTGCAACAGTAACTGAGCTAAATGGTAAAGGAGTTGGTGCAACAAAATGACACGGCCAAACAACTTACTATCATCGGTTCCTCCCTCGTTGCAAGCGAGGAGAAACTGCTCTCCAGTCTTTGCTCATCAAGGTGCCATCTGTGCTCCCACTCCGCTACGATCTTTTCCTTTATTTTCATCTGTCGATTTAATTCGTCTTCCTCCGTTACTTGGACCTGCTGTCCCCTCTTATCATAATTTTGGCGCTTTAACAAAATTTTCTTCTCTGTGATATTTGAGATCTGCGGACGGATATCTACGGCATCTGCATGCATACCATCCACAGCGATATTTGCCACTGAAACTATCCGTTTGTCAAACCTTGTGGGTAATGATAGTAGTTGTTCGGGAGTCGCGCTACACACATCAACCTCCACACTCTCCGAGTATATAGGTCTAGGCTCAGCCCTTATCACATATATCTCCTCCGGTCTGTAATGAGAATGCGCACGCATCAACCTCTCATTCAAATTAACGATCCGAATGCCTTGCAGTCCTGCAGCCTCATTGTTAATCGGTTTTGCACTAGATCGCTTGAGTTGCGGAGTGTAGAACTGTTCAATAGTGTAATTGCATGGATGTGGTGGTGGTGCGGAGGATGGAGACCCGGGCAGAACAAACTGGGTACGGCTTAGAGCCATTATTTTGCAAATCTCGGATGAATTTTTTCCTCCATCCGAGAGATACTCATATTGAGAGGAGGAGCGAACGGGAGAAACAAGTCGACGATGTTCAGACATTAAGGAATTTGAGACACATGATGCTGCTGTGGTGGACGCAGAATACTTGTGGGCTATTGCATACTTTTCTGAGCTATTTTGGAAGAGTGAGCGAATGAATTCCACGAAACGGGCACCTGCAGAACACGCACTTCTGCGCGAGACACCTTGTGCGGACTTGAGGGAGTAATCACTGGAAAATGACATGAGTCCGAATTTGACTTATGGAGGCGACGGCGGTGATGTTAACAGAAGACGGCATACTCCAAAATGGAAGAAATCATTGGAATTGCACAACGAGAATGCGTTTGCATCAAGTGCGTGCAGCCACCTTGCGATTGGATGAAGGACTGGCCAATGCCATCCTGGTGGGAAATCTTCATGACCCTTCATGTCGCATGCATTTAGACAGTACTGAACTCAAAGGTGATCAATGGCTCATCACTTAATGATTTAAGTCAAGCATGATAATGAGGCTTGAAGAAGAACGTAACGTGTTTTCACGCATATTGTGTGTAGCCTAATAGGATGCAACTGTTAATCTTCATATGTAGAACCTTACGTTCTGGTGCAATTTAGCGGTTCCATCGTGCAAGTTTTAAAAATCGGCATATTCGATCGGAAGTCCCACATTACAAATCTGAGTTTCTTACGCTTGTCAGGAAGTAAGAAATATATGCAGTTGAGAATTGCATGAAGCAACAATTAATTTGGTGATGATGGGGCTTGTGTCGAAATTACTGCTGCAGTATTGCGCATATCAGTGTTAACCATCTTCATTTGCCATACTGTAGCCAAATCTCGATAGGCGGCCACTCAATATTCATGCTTTCTCACAAGTTCTGACTTGATAACGGAAGCAGAGATTCTTCTTATCCCCACTTAAACACTTGAGTTTTCGTCCAAGGAAGAGCATTCTCGTAAGAAGTGTGTTGAGAGGACGGCGGAAGAGAGTCGCCAGAAAAAGGATCCTTAAGCTACCTCGATTATGCTTACTTAAATTGTAAGCGGTCACGCCCTGTTTCGTTCCCGCGAAGGTGATGTGGACCGTTCTTATGAAATCTAAAGACAAGTCCTCCATCCATTTGACTCGTTGATTGCTTCTTTCAGAATGACTCACACCGCATTTCAATTTAATACGATCCACTGATCCACTATGAATGCAGAATCGTTCGCATGAAATTTCACTTCACTTCCTGATTTTGTTGACTTCCTAATTTAACAACCTGTTCGTTTGCATAATACAAAATAACTTTTCATCAAGCGAATTTTTCCCGTATTTTCTATATGTATATTTTAAAATGAACACACGTTTCCGTGGTAGATACACTTTTGATTAGAGTGAAAAGTAACTGGCAAGTTTAGAAAGAATCATAAGACTCTTGGCAATCGTCATAAAGGCCTTTGCCGTATAAAATGAAGTTTCTTATTACCTAATCATTGTGATTTTCAAACAACAGCAGCTATCGGTAACGCCGAATGCAGCTCCTACCCCATCATCGCCAAAATCCCTCCCTAACATTTCCTCAGGAGACAGATCGTTTACACATGTTTTCTTTGACTCCGCAGGAGAGCGCAATCAACGATTTGAAAGCAAGGAGACGAATTTACCCAGAGCATCACTCCTTCCTACAAGGTCGATTAAAACAAAAATTTTCATTTGGTACATTGAGTATAAAACTACATGTCGTATCATTATATTGGATGGGTTTTGCTGATCTCTGGCGTTTCAGACAATCGATCGGTCAAACCCATAATGGGAGTATATTTGGCTTCTGATAGTCTTACAGGCATACTAATAAGTCAGTAGATCTTATTATACTACAAATGCATGCTTTTGAACAACATTTTAAGTCACTGTGGGTAGATAGAAAACTCAACGTGGTAAACATCAGTGCTAACATTTACCAAAACAGAAGCAACTTCAAAAATTCCTAACCTTCAGTCTAAACAACGTGTTACGCCATTGAACATCTTCCACGGTTAACCTCGTTTGGATGTCGGTGGGAGTTCCCAAAACAGATTTATTTATTTACTCGTATCTACTGAAATCCAACACACTAAGATCTTAAAGTACGTTGGTCTAGTGGCTGAAATCAAGCTGGCTTTTAAAAATAGGCTGTAGAGTTTTCCGACCGCTAAGTTGAATAAAATAATCTGCATTTGGTCGCTATACTATACCAATACTAATATCGTTTTTGTTTGTTTACCATAACTTACAGCATTACTTTATTATTTGCAGCATTTAAAGTGAAGTCGATAGAAAGAAAGCTGTGGGAAGTTATTTTAATATGTTTTACACCCTCAAGTGAATCTGAGATGTTGCTTGATTTGGTTCCGAAATGACCTTAATGCCACTAGTGCTACTTTGAAACGTAGCAACTCGTGATTTTAATAATTTATGTATAGTTCATTCGTTAAGAAGGAATGTTAGTTCTAAAAAACATCCCAATATACGTTGTCTTGTTATGTGATATTGATCACTTTCAGAGACACCTCTAGACGGTGTTCGGGTGGATGCGATCCATGTCCTTAATGTTTTTATTTATGATCTCCAATCTTGTACGTATTTCAAACGCTATTTAGAAAGTTATTTCATATCAGCCTGGAAAATTTTGTGAGGGTGCGGCGGCTAATCTCTGACATCGGTAGAGTTATTTTAAATTAAGGAAACGATACCTTTATTATTTTGTAAAATTATATGGATATGATTCTAATTTTTGAGGGGTGAAATGCCACCAAAACTGGCGACATATGTGACAGAAGAGCGGCTCGTTGAATATCAAGAGGCTTTCGATACTTTCGATCCAGACGGCAAGGGGAAAATTCCTTGTGAACATGTACTTGTTTGCCTACGAAAGGTCGGGTTGATGCCGGCTGACTGCGAACTGGAGGTCCGTGGTAATTCTAGTAATGACACTGAATGATACTTCAAGTTTCTTTAGTTATTTTTTCCATCATTAGCGCCTCCTCCCTCAATATAGTGTGCACATGGTCCAGATAAAGGCGACCAGAATGTCCGGGTCAACCCCACACACATTTGCCTCAAATACAAGCTATAACGGGAACAACTGCGTCCCCTAAATGTGCTCCAACGTCCTCCCTTAAATCGTAGGATCTACTACGCTCCGTTGACTCGGAGAACGACGTTTTTGCGGAAGGTATCAACTACGACCAATTTTGCCAAATCGCTTCAAAGAAGGAAAGGGATGTATATAACGAAAGAGACATAGTAAATGCCTTCGCCCTCTTCGATTCAACGTCCAAAGGCTACCTAACGACGGAGGAGCTGACGCAGATTCTCTGCACACGAGGCGACAAACTATCAGAGGGTGAAATGGCAGCACTTATTAAAACAGCTGGAGCCAATACAAACGGACGCATACAGTACGAAGAATTTGTACATCGTATGATGTTGAGAGACTAAGGCACTATCTTTGCTGCTACAATCCTAAGCAAAGAATAATTGAACAAAAGTATTGCGTTGTAAATGATTGGCGAAGGTTTTATTGGAATATATGCATACATTGGAATATTTACAGTGGGAGCTCACCACCTTCCCGTAGACATGGGATAAAAGCAAGCAAATCTCTCGCACTCATGGGACTAGGGTTCAAAGCTAGGTGGGGAAGAAGATCCTTCAGTTTGGCATTCTTCAGCTCAGCGTTTCTGCGTTCCAAGGCGGCTACCGAGTACCTCAGTTTCTTGTAGGCCAGCTTAGTTCTAACTAAACCAGTCATCACCGACCTATACGCCCATTTGGTCCTACGTTGCAGCTCATTCACCGCCGAACTAGATTTGTTCGAAGAGATGAATTCTACGAAGGGGTTCAACATTGAGTTCCCAATCATCTCCTCAAGCTTCATACAGGGTTTTTGAAGAGGGAATGACGCTCCATGTTCCAGTCGGTTCAACAGCCTTGGCCACTCAGAAAGCTCTCTTTCGTAATTTTCAAACAAGGCATCTACTGAATTTGGAAGGGATTTTGTATCGTACGATGTGGGGCTTTTTCGGCAGTCGGAGTTTTTGACATATTTACGACTTAGAGACTCGACATGAGGATCTGAAAATTGGGCACCTGCATGTGAATGCGAAGGGGAAGCTTCATCCGGACTAGTATCGTCGGGAGGTCTGGGTGAGGTTGGTAAATGCCCCGGATAAACCTTCATGTGTTCAGGACCTTGTCCACTCAGAGGTGACACTGGTTGAAGGGAGGAGGTACAATCGTTTTTTAAGGCAGTTCCGAGACTCTTTCGTCGAACCACGATTTTTGGGCTACTATAACCGATTGGAGAATCTGAAGAGGCGGGAATGACCATCATACTGCGTCGAATTGACTTGCGGCGTAGATTCGATGCGGCGAGAGAAATATCATCTGGAGAGACTTGATCCTCCCAATCGCCAATGTCCCCAGCTGACATCGCATTGATGTTAAATCTGGTTGAAAAACAAACTTGCAGTGAATAGAACGACACTTCATGGACAGCAACCATAACTTAGCGGAGGATGGGAGAAGTGCCGTAACCCTAACATATAGCTAAGCCAAAACACTGGCAACAACAAATAGCCCTAATACACAAGGAAAAGGGAATAGTCAAGGTCAAACAAGCAGGCCTCTTGAGAAAAGATACACAAATAGCAAAATGGAAATATAATAAAATGCTTAGGGGGTAATAGGTGTGTAATCATCAATTGGACTCCCAAGTCGAGCACAAGAAAACAAGGACCCACATCTGATCACACGGGCTAGCAGGGAATAATACTCTTATTCAGCCAAATGGGAGCTGTAACAAAGCTAAAAATGGAAACCTCAATACTTAGGTGTGGTAAGAAAACTTTGCTTGTGAAATATTTAACCGCTTTAATATCATGTGAAACTTTTAGGCCTTAGGATGCTTTGACCTTTACCGAACAAAGCGCAAAAGAGATTAGACTAATGTGAAAAAATTTTGCAGGGTCATGATGAATCGACCCCTTAAAATGAGCTCATACTGCCTTTAACATATATTATACACTGTAATGGCTCTCACACGTGAATTGGGAAACATGAAATATAACGCCATGGTTAAGGAGTCAGCGACGGAGGTGCTTTCCGCAGCGAGAGAACATCGTCTCCTACACATCTTCTTAATCAGTGC